GCTGCAGGCTCCTGTCAAGACCCTCACCCTCCCCTCCCACCCCACAGCCTCATAGCCTGGTTGGCACCCTCTGGACAGTCTAATCTAGAGATTAGACCTGAGGACTAATCTGATTCTCTTTACTGGTGTGTCACTCACCAAGCTGAGGAATTCAAGTCAGCCCTAAACTCCTGTTAAATGATGTCCACATCTCTTCATATCCCTCTTTCTAAACCCAGCAGTCACTCCTGCCCAAATCCTGAAATCACTCTACTGTTCCTTCTGGAATTTACAGAAGGATTTACATTTATCAGCATAACCAGGATATCTGGAAGTTCCTATTACCAACTTGTCCACCTGAAATCTACATCCTGGGACAGGGCTTCCCTCACAGCCGTCTCTGTGCTGCCAATTTTCTCTCCCACTTTCCTTTTAATGCTGTGTTCTTCCATGTTCTTAAATTTGTAACATTATCATACTCTGTTTTTTTTCTCCGAACTCTTTCCTTTAATGGTCTGATTTATCTGTGTGGATTTAATATGATATATGAAGAGTAAACCAGTAGCAAATTGCCAATATAATTAGAATTAATAAATTCTGGTGCAACCAGTCCAATTGTTTATGCAGCCCTTCTAAGTTAGAAAGCCCAGAAGAATCTCCAACTCACCATGGCTAATCTGAAATCATCATTCTTGTTCTTCCTCAAACATCTACTTCTACTCCATTCCCTTCACGATTAATATGAACAAATGGAATCATCATTTTCCCCTCTTTCTCTAATATCCTACATTTACTACACCAGGAAATCCAGCAACCTCTACTTTATAGAAATATATCTAGAGTTTGGTAATTTCTCCTTGCCTTTCTTGCCACCACCCTGTTCCACACCATCATTATCTATTGTATAGATTAATGAGATTAATGCAGAGAAAATGAATTGGGTGAAATTATAGCATCTCAGACTTCATTCTTGACATGGGAGCTTTCCTTAACCTCAGAAATCTATTTCCTTAATGTCAGGACCTTACATTTTGGTCCCTTGATAGATTCCATCACTATCTTCTAACTGTAAGATTATCAGTATTGATTGAATCCTACTAAGTGCCAGGAAATATTGTTGTATCCACTTTAGATATGGAGAAACCAGGCTCAGAAACCTTAGCTAATACACAGGATGATTCAGAAAATAAATTAATTCATACTTGGTATACCTGTGCTGGCCACTATCTGAGTAGAAGAGAAATATTGTGTGAGAATTAGAGGAAGGCATAAATGGAATATGACAGTGGAAGTAATCTGGAACAGAAGCAAATGGAGTGAGTGAGGACATAGGATGTTTGACTTAGAGTTATCTGGAATTCCTCGATTACAACATCCACTCCTATAATCAATACAGAAACAAATAACTCTGTCCTAGTCATAGTGGGTAAAAGCCTACCATGCCAGGTTTCATTGTCACTCCAGTTTGATGATGAGTTCAAGAAGAAAACTGATGGACAAACGATGTTGCGCGATACCGAGTCAGTCATCCAGGACAGGACGGAGCAGGAGTGTGCACCCAGATGTCTAGCTTGGAACCACATTTGTAATGTTTATTCTCTGATGTCTTTATTCTTTCTACAGGATTTTCTACAGCAGCCTACTGTGTTGGAATTATACACTCTATGTGTCCTATTGACCCAGGGGTCTGCCTCAGATGGTAAATAATCTGCCCAAAATACAGGAGACCCAAGTTTGGTTTCTGGGTCTGGAAGATCTCCTGGAGAAGGGAATGGCTACCCACTCCAGTATTCTTGCCTGGGAGATCCCATAGACAGAGGAGCCTGGCAGGCTAAGGCCAAAGCGTCAAAAGAGTTGGAAATGACTGAGCAACTGAGCATGTTTCCTATTATCCTCTGAGGTTACTGAAGACTCAGTTCAGTTCAGTCGCTCCATCATGTCCCACTCTTTGCGGTCCCATGGACTTCAGCATGCCAGGCCTCCCTGTCCGTCACCAACTCCTGGACTTTCTCAAACTCAAGTACTTTGAGTTGGTGATGCCACCGAACCTCTCATCCTCTGTCGTCCCCTTCTCCTCCTGCCTTCAATCTTTCCCAGCATCAGGGTCTTTTCAAATGAGTCAGTTCTACCCATCAGGTGGCCAAAGTATTGGAGTTTCAGCTTCAGCATCAGTCCTTCCAAAGAATATTTAGGGTTGAGTTCCTTTTGGATTGACTGGTTTGATCTCCTTGCAGTCCAAGGGACACTCAAGAGTATCTCCAACACCACAGTTCAAAAGCATCAATTCTTCAGTGCTCACCCTTCTTTACGAAATGTCACATCTATACATGACTAATAGAAAAACCATAGCTTTGACTAGATGGACTTTTGTTGGCAAAGTAATGTCTCTGCTTTTCGATATGCTGTCTAGTTTGGTCATAGCTTTTCTTCCAAGGAGCAACCATCTTTTGATTTCATGGCTGCAGTCACCATCTGCAGTGATTTTGGAATCCAAAAAAATAAAATATGTCAGTTTCCATTGTTTCCCCGTCTATTTGCCATGAAGTGATGGGACCTGATGTCATGATCTTAGTTTTCTATATGTTGAGTTTTAAGCCAGCTTTTCACTCTCCTCTTTCACTTTCATCAGGAAGCTCTTTAGTTCCTCTTCACTTTGTGCCATAAGGGTGGTGTCATCTGCATATCTGCAGTTATTGATAATTTCTCCCAGCAATCTTGATTCTAGTTCATGCTTCATCCAGCCCAGCATTTCTCATGATGTACTCTGCATATAAGTTAAATAAGCAGGGTGACAATATACAGCCTTGACATACTCCTTTCCCAATTTGGAACCAGTCTGTTGTTCCTTGTTCGGTTCTAACTGTTGCTTCTTTACCTGTATACAGATTTCTCAGGAGGCAGGTAAGGGGGTCTGGTATTCCCATCTCTTTAAGAATGTTCCACAGTTTGTTGTGATCCACACAGTAAAAGGCTTTGGCATAGTCAACAAAGCAGAAGTAGATGTTTCTGTGGAACGCTCTTGCTTTTTCAATGATCCAATGGATGTTGACAATTTGATCTCTGGTTCCTCTGCCTTTTTTAATACAGCTTGAACATCTGGAAGTTCACGGTTCATGTACTGTTGAAGACTGGCTTGGAGAATTTTTAGCATTACTTTGCTAGCATGTGAGATGAGTGCAACTGCATGGTATTTTGACCATTCTTTGACATTGCCTTTCTTTGAGATTGGAATGAAAACTGACCTTTCCAGTCCTATGGCCACTGCTGAGTTTTCCAAATTTGCTACCATATTGACTGCAGCACTTTCACAGCATCATCTTTTAGGATTTGAAATAGCTCAGCAGGAATTTCAATACCTCCACTAACTTTGTTCATAGCGATGCTTCCTAAGGCCCACAACCATTTTGCCTTTTTGCATTTGTTTCTCTTGAGGACGATCTTGATCACTACCTCTTGTATAATGTCATGAACCTCTGTCCATAGTTCTTCAGGAACTCAGTCTATCAGATCTAAGCCCTTGAATCTGTTTGTCACTTCCACTGTATATTCATAAGGGATTTGATTTAGGTCATGCATGAAAGGTCTAGTGGTTTTCCCTTCTTTCTTCAATATACGTCTGAATTTTGCAATAAGGAGCCTAGAACATGATACATTAAGACTTCTCTTGTTAGAAGATCAATTATATTCCCCTTGATACAATAGTAGTGAAATGAAGCAAATTGCAGTAACCTATTTTATTACATGAATATTCTGTATCAGTTTTTAAAGTCTGACTTGTGATTCCAGCATATCTCATTTAGTAAAAATCTTGTAATTTTTCTTTTTTTTTTTTTTTTTTTTGTAATTTTTCATAAGTGAAGTCACTCAGTCGTAGCCAACTCTTTGCAACCTTGGACTGCCTACCTGGCTCCTCTGTCCATTGGATTTTCCAGGCAAGAATACTGGAGTGGCTTGCCATTTCCTTCTCCAAGAGATCTTCCTAATCCAGGGATTGAACCTGGGTATCCTGCATTGTAGGCAGATGCTTTACCATCTGAGCCACAAGGGAAGTCATTTTCATAAGTTACCTCTATTTCTGAACTTAAATTTTATCAATTACAAGGTTAGAAGATTGGGTTGTATTATCTACAAAATCTTTCAAGCTATTTTCTATTTTCCTATTGTTGTTGCTATTTAGTGTCTAAGTCATAACCGATTCTTTGGAACTCCATGGACTGTAGCCATCCAGGCTCCTCTGTCCATGAGATTTCCCAGGCAATAATACTGGAGTAGGTTGCAATTTCCTTCTTCAGAGGATTTTCTCAGCCTAGGGATTGAACCTGCATCTCCTGCGTGGCAGGTGGATTCTTTACCACTAAGCCACTTGGGAAGTCTACCAATTTAAAAATGATGTTCTGTTATTGGGCCCAGTGAAATTTACAGAATTCTGATATAAAATATTTAGCTCAGTTCAATTCAGTTGCTCAGTCATGTCTGACTCTTTGCGACCCCATGGACTGCAGCATGCCAGGCTTTATTGTCTATCACCAATTCCCAGAGTTTGCTCAACCTCATGCCCATTGAGTCAGTGATGCCATCCAACAATCTCATCTTCTGTTGTCCCCTTCTTTTCCTGCCTTCAATCCTTCCAAGCATCAGGGTCTTTTCCAATGAGTCAGTTTTTTTTCATCAGGTGGCCAAAGTATTGGAGCTTCAGTTTCAGCATCAGTCCTTCCAATGAATATTCAGGGCTGATTTCCTTTAAGATGAACTGGTTCGATCTCCTTGCAGCCCAAGAGATGCTCAAGAGTCCTTTCCAACACCATAGTTCAAAAGCATCAATTCTTTGGCACTTGGCTTTCTTTATGGTCCAAGTCCACATCCATACACTGGACACTATAATAGTTTAGATTCACTTAACAGTTCCTTTTTTCCCCCTATTGCTATAGGAAACTCACATAATTTACAAATGACCCTAAAGAAGAACAGTACATTTGTGACAGTTCATTCTTGCCGGGATAACTGATGACCCACAACTGCAGATCCCACTCTTTCTAGTGTTCACGCTCATCTGCCTCCTCACTCTGGCTGGGAACCTGGGGGTGGTCACGCTGATCGTGCTGGACGCTCGTCTCCACACCCCCATGTACTTCTTCCTCAGCCACCTCGCTCTGGCGGACTTTGGTTACTCCACAGCCGTCACTCCCAAAGTGATGGCAGAATTCCTCATCGGAGACAAGGTCATTTCCTACAATGCTTGTGCCACTCAGTTTTTTTTCTTTGCAGTCTTTCTCATTATGGAAACTTTTCTCTTGGCCTCAATGGCCTATGACCGTCATGCAGCGGTGTGTAAACCACTCCGTTACACCAACATCATGACACCAAGGGTGTGTGCCTGGATGGTCGTAGGATGCTATGTTCTTAGTTTTCTGGAGGCCTCTGTGCACACTTGGAATGCATTCAGTCTCTCTTTCTGCAGATCCAATGTGATTCATCACTTTTTCTGTGATTCTACTCCCGTCCTGGCTCTCTCATGTTCAGACAACAAGAGAAGTGAGATGGTGTTTTTCAGTTTGGCAGGCTTTAATATCATCGTTTCTGTCCTGGTCATCCTGATCTCTTACCTGTTTATCTTTGTCACTATTCTGAGGGTGCGCTCATCTGAAGGACATCAGAAGGCCTTTTCCACCTGTGCTTCCTACCTCACCGCCATCTCCATCTTCTATGGGACAGGCGCCTTCATGTACCTACAGCCTGGCTCCCGCCATTCCATGGACACAGACAAAATGGCATCTGTGTTCTACGCCGTGGTCATCCCCATGCTGAATCCGCTGATTTATAGCCTAAGGAACAAAGAGGTCAAGGGTGCCTTAAAAAAGGCTGTGGGAAAAGCAACGTCTTCTATAAAATTCATATTTTAATTATATAGATACAACAAATAAGGTGGTTTCATACAGGTCAGATCAAGTTAGGGGAAGTGTTGTTAGGCCAACAACATGCAAATTTTGAGTCCTTTCTTGAGTTCTTTACTAAGTCTATGATACAAATGGCTTAAAAATATTATATCTCAGGAATAATAGCTTAGGAATATCAACCTTGAACCTAGAAGTCTTAGTACATAGTTTCTTCTTAGTTACATTTCATTATTTCTCATTATCATCCCCACTCTCATTTTAGTCAATGCATATTTAAATATATGTCCAAAGAAACATCATTTATGCAATCCAGTGTAACTCACACATTCATGAGTGACAGCAAAATGAGTTCAAAGATGAATGGGACTAGTCTATTTTCATAGTATAATTTAAAGCAATGATTATGATAGCTGATAATTCATTCTTAAATGTAAACTTGGTGCCAAATAGTCTGGGTATAGGTTTATTGCTTGATTTTTGTTTGTTTTTGTTCTTGTTTCAGTGATAATAAACATGATTATATGGTCATCTTTAGTTAGCTCAATTTTTGTCTTTATCAACTCATTATACAGAAGTTACATCTTCATATGACAATTTTAAAATATCAGACCAGAGTATAAGAGAAATAAGAATAATGGCCTATTCTAATTCATTGAAAAAAAATAGCATTTAATTTTAAAGTAAGTCTTCAATCTATCTTCAAATGCTCAACTTTGTACTCCTTTTATGCTCCCTCCTTCATGTATGCATTCAGGCCACCTAATTATAGATTGGCATAAATCTATAGATTGGCTCAAATTAGAGGTTGACCTGATTGGTCCTTGCCAATCTTTAAGAAAAACCTATCCTGACTTACCTCACTCAGTATAATGGACCCCAGTTTCATCCATCTCATTAGAACTGATTCAACTGGATTATTTTTAATGGCTGAGTAATATTCCACGGTGTATATGTACCACAGCTTCCTTATCCATTCGTCTTTTAAATTTTGGCATATTAGAACACCATGAATCATTTGGAGTTATGATAGCTATTATAAAGATACCTTTTAAAGCAATTTGAAGTCTTAACATCATGCATGACAAGTTTGATTTATTCCATGGTCACATGTACGGCTCATCATACAGAAATAAATGTGGGACACAACATTAACAGAAGAAAATCACATAGTAGCCTATATGGGAAAAGAACCTAAAACAAAGTAGATATATGTATATGTATAACTGATTCACTTTGTTGTATACCTGAAGTTCACACAACATTGTAAATCAACTATACGTCAATAAAAAATATTTTAAATGAAAAAAATTTTTTAAATTTGATTACATGGTAATCTCAATAGATTCAAGCCAAGAGTTTTACAAAATCCACTGTCTTATCATGATTTAAAAAAAAATCTCATCCAAGTGGGTAGAGAGGGAACAAATCTCAACATGATAAAGGTCATTTTATAACAAAACCACATCCAACATAGTACACAATGGTGAAAATATGAAAGCCTTCCAGTTTGATTTGACAAGAATGCCCCCTCACCACTTCCATTTAATACAGTTTGGGAGTCCTAGCCACAGCAATCAGACAAGAAACAAAATTACAGGTTATTCAAATTGGAAGGGAAGGTAAAACTGTCACTTTTGTATATGATATATGAGACTTTATATTGTGTAAAAGTCCTTCTTCCAAAAAAAAAACCCCAAAACTATTAGAACTACTAAGTGAATTCAGCAAGATTACAGATTACAAAATTAATATACAGAAAACTGCTCCATTTATGTATACTAGCAATGAAATATCAGAAAGAGAAAGCAAATAGTCCTATTTAAAATCATATCAAAAAACCTAAAATATCTAGAAATAAATTCTATCAAGGATGTGAAAGACCTGTACTCTGAAAACTATTAAACACCAATACAGGAAACTGAAAATTATGTAAAAAAATGGAAAAAGCATAGCCCATGCTCTTGAGTTGGAAGAATTAATGCTATTAAAATTGTCATGGTATGCAAAGAGATATACATACTTAATGCAATCATTATCAAAATTCCCATGCCCTTTTTCACAGAAATAGGACAAACAATCCTAAAGTTTATATGGAACCATAAAAGACCCATAATTGGCAAAGCAATTTTGGAGAAAAAGAAGAAAGCTGGAGGTAACGCGCTCCCAGACTTCAGGTTATACTGTGAAGGTACAGTAACCAAAGTAGCAGATATTGGCACAAAAATAGACACACAAATCAACAGAATAGAATAGAGAACCCAAAATAAACCCACATGGTTATGGTCAATTAATCAATTGCAAAGATGGTAAGAATATACAGTGAAAAAAGGACAATCTTTTCAGGAGGTGGTGGTAGAAAAACTGGACAACATTTGTAAAACAATGAGATTAAAACATTCTCTCATACCACATACAAAAATAAACTCAAAGAGTGTTAAACATAAGACCTGAAATTATAAATTTCTAGAAGAGAACATAAGTGAAGAAGTCTTTAACATAAGTTGTAGCAATATTTTCTTGGATCAGTTTTCCAACGGAAAATAAATAAAAGCAAAAATAAACAAATGGGGTCTAATTAAACTTACAAGCTTTTGCAATGAAATAATAACCCACAGACTGGAGACAATTTTTGCAAGCAGTGTGACCAACAAGGGATTAATTCCCCAAAATAGAAAAAGCTTTTGTAGCTCAACAACAACAACAACAACCCATAGATAAACAAATTTGATAAATGGTTAGAAGACATAAACAGACATTTCTCTGAAGAAGGCATACAGGTGGTCAGCAGGCACATGAAAAGATGGTCAGGATCATTAACGAATGGAAGAATGCAAATCAAAGCTACTATGAGATATCATCTCCCACCCGTCAAAATGGCTATCATCAAAAAGTCTACAAATAAAAAATGTAGATGATGTGGAGAAAAGGCAACCTTCCTACACCATTGCTGAAAGTGTAAATTGTTGCAGTGATTATGCAAAACAGAATGGAAGTTACTTAGAAAACTGAAAATAGATCTAGCATATAATTCAGCAATTGCATTCCTGGGCATTTATCCAGTAAAGACAAAAGCTCTAGTTCAAAAAGATACATCCACTCCAATGTTCATGGTAGCACTATTTACAATAACCAAGACCTGGAAGCCATCTAAGTGCTCATTGACATATGAATGGATAAAGAAGATATATATCTACATGAAATGTTAATCAGCCACAAAAGAATGAAATAATCCTATTTGCAGTGACAAAGATGGATCTAGAGATTATTATACTAAGTGAAGTAAGTCAGAGAAAGATAAATACTATAGGAGATCACTTACATGTGGAATCTAAAAAATAGTAAAAGTGAACATATTTACAGAAGAGAAACAGACTCACAGACATAGAGAGCAAGCTTACGATTACAAAAGAGGAAGAGGGGGAGGTATAAATGGGAGTATGTGATTGACAGATACACATTACCATTTATAAAATAGATAAACAACAAGGATTTACTGTATAATGTAGGCAACAGTATTCAGTATCTTGTAATAAACTATAATGGAAAAGATTGTAAAAAAGAATATAAAGTATATATATATATGTGTGTGTGTGTGTGTGTGTGTATGTGTATACAACCATCAAATGATTTGACTATATATACCTGAAACTAACACAATTTTGTCAAACATAATCAATTAAAAAGAGCATTTTTCTTTTGATCCATAAAAAAGAAATTGCATATCTTTTAATTTATTAATAAAACTCTAGGGATTTGTTTGAACAACTTCTTTGTTCATACAAATTAGAATTTTTGTTAAAATAATGCTTCAATTCCCAAATATAACTTTAAAATCCTAAATATAAAACAGATTGTATCAAAAGGCACACTTTTAATTCTGTTTAAATAAGAATATATTGTTTTTTAAAAATTAATATTTATTTAAAATATTGAGAGTCTAGCAATTCAAAATAAATAGCTTTCAAGTTAAAAAATGTTTTTGCACAACAAGGGAAACCATTGAAAAAATGAAAAGACAATGCATGGAACTGGAGAAAATACTTGCCAGTGATGTAGCCAACAAGGAATTAATATCCAAAATATACCAAGAGCTCATACTACCTAATATCAAAAGAACAAACAACTGAATCAAAAATGGGCAAAAGACCTGAATAGACATTTTTCGAAAGAAGACATACAGATGGCTAACGGGCACATGAGAAGATGCTCAGCATCACTAATTGTTCTTGTTGTTCAGACATTCAGTCATGTCTGACTCTCTGGGACCCCATGGATTGCAGCACGCCAGGCCTCCCTGTCCATCACTGTCTCCTGGAGTTCACTCAAACTCACGTCCATTGAGTCAGTGATGCCAGGCAACCATCTCATCCCTGTCCCCCTCTTCTCCTCCTGCTGTCAATCTTTCCCAGCATCTCTGTCTTTTCCAATGAGTCAGCTCTTCATATCAGTGGCCAAAGTACATCTGGAAGCTTTTTGAATGTTGAGTTGTTTTTTATTTTTTATTGATTACAGCACTTTTATTTTTCAGACATTTTTCTTCCTAATTCATAAAATTATAGTGTGCAATTAGTTAAAAGAAATACATATACCCTTTAGCAATACAGGTAAAACTGAACTCTTGTTTAGCAGGTGGCTTACTCAGCACTTTTTTGTTAGCTGGTGAACATAAGTCCATATTTTTTTAAATTATATTTATTTTTAATTGATGATTGCTTCACAATGTTGGTTTGATTTCT